GGGGGGGGGGCACGAGAATCGGGCCTCTCACTGCTTCTGCCTTCAGCCTGCCTTTCCTGTGGTGGGGAGGATAGGGGGGCAAGCTGTCAAAAGCTCCAATGTTACAAATAGCTACTTTGCAAACTAAACTACATGCAGCTATGGTTTAGTTTACAATGTAGCCAACTTATTTAAATCGTCAACCCCCCACACGCGTACAGCATGACACAAATCACAAAAATAGGCAATTTTTGTCACGTGTTACAAGCACAATAAGATCTCAAGTTCCCTACTTGACTGGTAAAAAAATGTACCGCTGTTTTTTGTCAGATTTAACATTCAAGTGATAGCTACTACCAGAAACAATATGAGTCAGACTCCTAATTTTTAAAAAAATCTTAGTAAATTTTACTGCTTTAAATATTCTAAACCTTTATATTAGGATTGTATCTGCTATGAAAAGTTCAACCAAAAATTATTTCAGGAGCCTTTACAGTTGGAATATTTTTGCCACAAACACTGAACTTACAGAAATGACAATAGATCAAGAAGCCCAGCTGTGTCTGTTACCTTTTAAGTTAGTGACTGTACACTGCTAAATTCTGAAATCTACATTTGAAAAAATAACCTCACTAGTCAATTTAAAGAAAAGGTAGAAGTCAACAAAACTTTAATCAAATTTACAGATTTTGATATTTTAATTTCAATTTTACCAAAAATTTGCAATTTAAAAAATGTATCAATCCCTTCCAACCCTATGCTTTACATTTACTGTTAATACCAACAGATAAAGATAGGACATTTTGTATTTGTATCAACACAAAATTTAAAAAGGTGCTATACTTGATGCACATTTAGTAAGTGTGCAGCTGCAGCCCTGCTGATGTGTTTAGAGGGGTTTCATTGCTGGAAGCTTGGTGATACTTTTAAAAGGCTGAATATCCAGGGAAGGTTCAAGTGGTTCACAGAGGATATATAAAACAAATCCCTGTTAATAAGTAAGGAGCAATAGAAGTTGGTGAGCGAAGAACATTCTGCCTAATCAAAATTTTAAAAGGTATATTTCAGTCCCTTCCAATTGCTGAAATAATGCCCATGCTGTAAAATCAATGGACTGTTCTCAATTCCCCAGAAGAAAAAAAAAAGTAGAAAGAAGTCGCAAATTTGTATCTGTTATCTTATTTGCATGCTCCCAACAGTGACCTGAATTGGAAACCTGTCAGCCTATGCTGTCCTAAGTGCAAGTACAAAGTCTAGCAACTCAGCCAGCAGGCTCTGGTCAAAAGAGAATACATCAAGCCAGATGTGCTGTTGGTATTTTATTCAGTGGTTTATTGGCTTCTCAGCCAACAGACTGATGGGAATATTCAAGGGAATAATTCATAGATTCATAGATTGTCAGGTGACCCCAGCGATTTGACTGTCCAGTCTCCTCTTAAAAGATTTCCAGGGTAGGTGACTGCATCACCTCTGGAAGGAGTTTATTCCACAGTCTGGACACCCTGACTGTGAAGAAGTTTCTCCTACAGTTAAGCCTGAAACAGTCTTCCAGGAGTTTGTGGCCATTACTCCTGGTTTTTCCCCAAGGGTGCCCTGGTTGAACAGTTCTTCACTGAGCCCTTGATGTATTCCCCTGATATAGCAGTAAGCTGCTAGCAAGTCCCCTCTCCACCTTCTCTTTTTTAGGCTGAAGAGGCCCAAAAACTAATGCTGAGTAAAGCGGAAGAATCACTTCCTTGGGTTTTACTTGAGATGCAATTGGTTGGTACATGCCAGAGTATCGTTTGCCCTGCTGGCTACAGAATTGCACTGATGGTTCATGTTCATTCTATGGTCTATTATTACCCCTAGGTCTCTTTCAGTCCTGGTGCTAGTCAAATTGGTGCCACTAAGCCTGTAAGTGTGATGGAGATTGTTCATCCCCAGATGGAGCACTTTACACTTCTCAGTGTTGAACTTCATCTGGCTCCAATCCGCCCAACTTGCCAACCTGTCTAGGTCTGCCTGTATTTGCAATCTATCTTTGAGCGTGACCATGCTCCCCCATAACTTGGTGTTGTCTGCGAACTTGGTCAGTAAGCTCTTCACCACCACATCCAAATCACTGATGCTGAAAAGCACTTGGCCAAGCACGGACCCCTGAGGGACACCAATGGCCACTTCTTGTCAGGATGACACAGATCTGTTCACTAAAACTCTCTGGGTCCTACCCTGTAGCTAGCTTCCTACCCACCTAACTGTTGAGCAGTTAAGCCTGCACTCCTCCAATTTTCCTATGAGAACATCATGGGATACCAAATCAAAGGCCTTTTGGAAATCTAAGTCTAATGTCAACCTTCTCTCTCTTATCCAGGTGGCTAGTTACCTGGTCATAGAAGGAGATGAGATTGGTAAGACAAGACCTGCCCATGATGAAGCCATGCTGGCTGTCATTCAGAATCCTACCTTCTGCAAGTGTATCACACATAGATTCCTTGATGATTTTTTTCAGGATTTTCTCTGGGATAGAAGTTAGGCTAATTGGTCTATAGTTGCTCGGGTCCTCTCTCTGCCCCTTCTTGAAGATGGGCACAACACTGGCCCCTCTTCCAGTCTTCAGGGACCTCCCCCAAGTGCCATGAGTTTTGAAAGCATTTTGCCAGAGGTCCCACGATGACTTCAACCAGTTCCTTCAGCACTCTTGGGTGAAGTTCATCTGGCCCTACTGACTGATAAATGTCTAACTGAACATGCAGCAGCTCAGCAACAATAGTAGGAAGGTGATCATTTCCACCATGCCCATTCTGAACCTTATCTAGTATGATTTTCTCCTTAGTCTGATGAAATACCAAACCAAAGCACTCATTGGTCCAAGCAAGTCATTGGACCAAGCAAAGAAAGCCTTAGATAATGGATCAAGTAGGCCTTCAGCAGG